ATGTTAACAAATTGTTCGTTAAGAGATTCTTATTCATGTGTGAATAAAGTGGTGATTTAATTTGTTACAATATTGATCTACAGATTAAAGGGATAGTTTTAGGAACCACTGTATAAATTCAGACACATCTTTATTTGTATGGATAATGTTAAAGGGAGAGCTAGGACCAAGCCAAATATAGTATTCCAATCTAAAGTATTGATTTCACCATTGTGGCATAGTTATCACCATAGGAGGGCTTTAAGATGGAAATATGAAATGACTTCTGTTTTAAATCCTTGATGAAGGAGGGAGTAATTGCTGCATGTTCGAACACCCAAGGTTCCACACACTGCTAAGGGGATTAACATTGTTTTTTAAGTAGACCAGAAAAGGGGTTTAAGTGACATTATAAGGAGTTATGAAATGCAGAGCTACACAGATCCTAATAATGTTTTGACTCAAGATAATAGCCACATGTACGTACGTTTCTGAAATAGATATTTTAGACATTTTAATACTAATTAGGTGTAAATAAACTGCAGTAGTAGTACTATAAGGAAGTGAATTTTGTACCAAATTTCAAGAAAGGTGGGAGGCAGAAGTCCCAATGAAAAGTTAGAACCATCTTGAAAATCATAGTTGAAATCGTGAATGAATAAGGAATGGCGCTCCGCATATGACATATTTTTGTAGATAAAGGGTACCCGCCTATGCTGAATTACCTCTGTAAAGACTCTGCAGAGCACGACATGGCCAACAGACCGAGACCAAATGACCTTTGACCCTGACTGACAGTGTGACAAAAGCACTGTCAATGACTGACTCTGGGGTGTACCTGACCACACTTGACTTGACAACCAGACAGTATGAGTGTGAATGAATGCCGGCATGTGATCAGTGTAACTGCATGATTCTAAAACAATAACTAACCAAGCATGGTTTTGGACTAACATATTATTTTGGAGCTCCAAGGGAAACGAGAGGTTTCCTATAATTCCACAAAAATGGGAAACCGCACATGGGACCCGTTTCTAATCTACTTGATGATATTTTACTCCCACAGGAGTTGGCGTTTTGCAAATGAAAAACTCAAACTATAATTTGAAGATTCTGTTTCTTTTAGGACTGAAAGATGGAGAGAAACACTTATTTTCACTGAGGTGTTTACTGTGGAAAGATAATAATAATGGATGTAAAATTGCTATGTCTCTAACCAAAATGTAACTGAAAGTTTTCTTTCATGTGTAAAAAGGGGGGAGAGTGTATAATGTATAACGTCAACATGGCTGTCAAATTCACAATTTAAATTTTTCTTTTAGGGATTGAAAGAAACCTTCTGCCCCAACCTAGATGTTGAAACTGAGCATTGAATGATAGTTTTAGAATGAACCTGCTCCATATCTGGGGATAAGATACTGTTTGATGAATGTTGACATGTTTCTAAATATTGATTGCATTTTGAACAGGTAACACAGACGCAGTGGCCAAGGGGCTACTGTGAGAGATGTAATTCCAGAATGGAATACCAAAGAAGTTGACTTGTGATAATGAAACAATTTTGTAATATTTTAACAGACATTAGAGTAACTGAGGTTTGAAATATAGAAAGAACATAGTAATGTAATGACACAGAATTTAATTTAGACAACATCTTGTAACTAGCCTGGTAAAGAAATAGAAGTAAAAGCCATGGACTTTATTGTTTAGGTCATTATGGGGATATACATTGAATTTAAAATAGAAAGACATTTGATGACAGTATGTTGGAATTCTGTATTCATTTTTCAGCTTGATAATAGACAGGTAGAAGCAGTATTGCCAGGTGCAACTGATGGGATTTCTGCACACGAGCCAAGCAGAGAATGACGTACCTTTTATAGGACAGATACACTCAGGAAACCACACTCTGACAGCATTATGACTTCAGTTGTTTTTAAATCCATAATGAAATTGTATTACATAACGTTAGTGTGTGTCTTTACCAGAAACAGGAATAGTTCATTGTTATATTTAGATTTGAAAAAGATTACAAGGATTTTATTTAGGAACAACACAGATGCTCATCAGACATTTCGAGCTATTGAAATATGTTATTTAGTTCACCATGAAGATGTTTTATTTTGTTTGTAACATATGCCGAGTATTAAGATTCAGATATCAGCAGGTTCTGAATTATTATTCCTCTGTCCCACAACCAACAAGAATGTGGATGGGGAGAACTATATCTGATATAACCAGCAGAGATTCCTAAATCACACCAGAGACACAGTAAAAGGATGACACAAACAGTCACATAAAAACAGACCGATAGAATAGCGCTAGACATTAGTTGGAAAAGGGAGTGTGCAACACTGAAGAGGATAGGATTGTTTAAATAAAGAGTAATATTTTCAGATAGTTTTATCCTTCTTATATTTTGTGAAAGAACAAGTGCCTTTACACCAGATACAGTATGAAGATGATATATATGATGTGAAAGGAGGGAGTTCGACGTTTTCCATACCAAGCTAATTGCTGCTATTTTACGAAGTGATATTAAAGGTTTAAGCTAGAAGTTATGCACAAATGAAAAACTTCGCATTTATGATAACTATGTATTGTTACTATTTGTATTTTCTACCCTTTATGAGTTATGTACTATGCAAAGTTCAGATGAAGAACTCATTGATTTCAGTATTATGTTCATACCTTAAAGGGTATGAAAGGAGGGATTGTTAAAAACCAAGCTAATTGCTGCTATTTTGAAAAGTGATATTGAATGTTAAAACTAGAAGTTTAAGCACAAAGGAAAACTTATGTTGAAGACCAACCGAAGTATTTTTTGTATTTTTGATGACTGTTATTTGAACCATTCCATTTTGATAGTATGTTTTTTATATGAGTTATGTACTATGCAAAGTTCAGATGAAGAACTCATTGATTTCAGTATTGTGTTCACACCTTAAAAGGTGTGAAAGGAGGGATTGTTAGAAATTAAAATCAATGTTTTATGGCATAATTTAGTCTAAAACATACCGTCAGTTTAAAAGCAGTTTTATGAAGAACTCATTGATTCCAGTATTGTGTTCACACCTTAAAAGGTGTGAAAGGAGGGATTGTTAGATATTAAAATCAATGTTGATGTGGCGTAATTTGAATGAAATACACTATTTCATTTAAATCTGTTTTATTCTGAAAACCGAAGATTCACATGTGACTTCCGGTTTTCCGCTGGTGAATTTCGTCATTTCCGGTTAGCATTAGCTTGTTGCGAAATGCTACGTTTTCAAACCGTGAATTGAAGGTGAAATAACGTGATGTTGTACACTAAACACCCTGAGTTTAACACTCATTTATTGACGCTGGAATGAGGTTTATTAGGGAATGTTTAGATGACCACAGACATCAGAGTGATGTAATTTAGCAGCAGAAACCGACAGGATTTGCATTGGACACGCCCCCGTCGACGCCGGCCAATAGGAGAAGACTACAGGTCTTACCCGGGAGACCCAAGAAGGATCTCGCTCTCTCTTTGCCCCCAGCTGACCCAGCGTGGACGCGGGCCAAAACAGCTGGCAGGGAGAAATCACCAACGAGCACATTTCTTTTGTAAACCACCGCATCTTTTGTGTAATTAAATGCTGTTAACTTGTATAAGCTTGCCTTGACTCTTTTCAGTCTCTCCTGCTCTCGGGGTTCAAGAATAACTAACAAGTGCATGTAGTTTATTTTACCTTCGTTGTCCCGGCATGACTTTGTGCTGTGGACGGTTCCCAGGTCGGCTAACTAACAACGGAAACTGCCTTCAGTAGAAGCTTCTGGATCCCGTTCTCCGAGTAAATCTCCAGAAGCGCCGACACATCATCATCACTCCACCGCTCCGCTGATTTATTTGGTGTTGCCATAGCTGCTTTCACAAAAGTAATCTCTTCGTTGGTGCGCTGCGATGACATTTTAATGCGAGCAAATAAAATGGCGGCTTCACAAAAGTCTTTGGGAGTTTTACGGGGCGTGGTTTGCATTCCGCCCAGCCAATCAGACATATGAACCTTTTTCTCCCACGAAAGTCCTTGCTCTCTAGCAGGGACTGAAAAGTGGGTAAAAATGGTTCTGATGAATTTAGTTCCTGGGGCTTTTTGGTGTGAACGCAAATATATCGTAGTTCTGATTAACTATTGTGGGAAAAGTACTTCGGTGTGAACGCGCTATATGTGTGCACGTGCCTGCTGAGCTGGCAGAGACATGTTTTCACTGCTTCAGCATTCATCTTATGGACATGTTGAAAATGGAGATTCTGTTCAGCCACATGACCATTTATGACAAGGGTAGTTAAATTAAAATTGTGCAATGACTCATCGCTACTTTGGTGTGAAAATGCAGAGCAAGTTCTGCAATGTAATTGATTATATACTTTAATCCCTCTGAGCTGTGAGTTACATTTAAAGGAATGTACAGTTGTGTTTTCTTAAAGGTCCCCTATTATACTGCTTTTCATCAATATATTATAGGTCTCAGATATATACAAAACATGTCTCTGAAGTGTTTGGTGCGAAATACCAAACAGATCGTGCATTGCATTATCCCATAATCCCCTCTGTTTCAGCCCTGTTTCCAAAGTGCTGATTCTCTGTCTGTTACTTTAGATGAAAATAAGGAGCCCCTCCCCACGCCCCTCTGAGAGATATTTGGTTAAAAAGAACACAATGGTGCTCTAGGAGGAGATTCAGGTGATAAGGTGGGGGGGGGGGGGGGTTACCTTGGTTGCTGATTGGCTAATGGTTACACAAGCCAAAACATCGTTATGACATCATAAAGTGGCCAAAATCTGATCAGCTCATTTTCAGACAGGTTTTTATATAAATGGATCAGGACAAAAAGTGAGCGAATATTTTTTCCTGAAACTTTCAGAGTCTCTTTACACAGAGGGGACACATGGTGATGTAGAAGAGACATGAAGAAGAGGATTTTGCACAATAGGTGACCTTTAAAGCATTAGACAGCAGAGATAATTATGGGAACTAAACAACCAGGACCCTCACCTCCGATGGTGCTCTGCTGGTACTCGTGGAACTGGCCCTTGACAAAGCGCAGCACCAAGCTGGACTTCCCCACCGCGGACTCCCCCAGCAGCACCAGCTTAAACTGGCAGATCTTGTTGCTCGCTGCGGTGCTGTTGGTCCGTGCTGGTCCGCCTCGCCCTGCCATAGCGCAGTTATTTTATTCAGGAGAAAGGAGAAGAAGTCGGGAGAAGAGGGAGGAGGTCTGGTTGACTCGAGGCCTGGGTCGGTGCAGGGGCTAGATGAGGCTGAGACAGACGGGGGGGGGGCAAGTTCGGTCAGGCAGGTAGATGAGCCGGAGGAAGAGGAGACCTCACCAGTGGGAGCTGGAAAACATATTCAGTATGTTGCTGAATATGCTCTAAACAGAACAAAGGCTTTACAAGAAAACAAACACAGGATGTTTGCTGAATATTATAATCAGTGTTTAATCTAAACAATTCAACAGAGAGGAATTCTTTGTTCCAAAAAGAGATAATTCAAATAATATCTGATCTATCTTTTTTTATTTATTATTTTGTTTAGCCAAGATTAACAGTTTGACAATTATAGAGTTTAAGTTGTTGACACAGAAACACAGTGGGCGGGGCCTCCGGATAAAGAGTTGATCATTGAAGTATTCAAGTATTTTTTGTAATTCAAATAACAGAAGTTGCCGTTTTAAGCCTCAAATATGGATATTTCTCATTACTTTCGGTTCCATTTCATACTTAACATACATTTTTTGTTTTTGGATTCACAAAACAAGACATTTAATGACATCACCTTGGACTGAGAGACTGGAGTGACTCAATGGACCAAACAGTTATAGCAGGAAATTAGAGTGCTTTCCAGCATACAGTTAAAACACATCTTCCAGTGAGTCATGTCTTAAGAGATATCAGGCCATAGTTTAAAGGTATGACTTTATAGTGTGAACATCTTTGTGGCTGTTTCCATGTAATGATACCAAAACCAGATAATGACTGTCAAGTCAAAAATAGATTACTTTCAACACTGCAACCTTCGGTGACCCAATCTTGTTTGTCATGGATTCAAGTTGTATTAATAAATGTAAACTTTATTTTGACAGTCTTGTTGTAAATAGAGAGTTTACCAACAGAAAAATAGCTATAAGACCAATAGCCTAACACAGAGGTTTACTTTAAAGTATTTAATCAAGCCAAATGCAGCCCAACCTATCCACACACTTACGTGATAACAGCATTCAGAGACAATAGAAATGAGCCAACGATTTCTCCCTTCACTTGAGCCTACTTTGCATGTATGAAACCTTGCCTAATCTGTTTTTGCAGTGGAGTGATACACATGAGGTCAGCCAGCTTCTGCTTGGTCAATGGACAGGAAACACAACTCAGCTCAAAGCAGGAAGTGAAGATTGCAGAAGACATTTTACTGCTGAGCACGTTAAAACTTGGGATAGCCTGAGCTTTGTCACTGACCCAACTTCTCTCAGAAAAGCATACTGAAGAAAAGTAGGTTAGACTTTTGCTGAATGAAAAGGGAAATGTGGAGAATGAGGAGAGCTAAAGTAAGACGTCAGTGCTGATAGTCTTTAGAGTTTGGTTGTGTGAGGCCTTTTCTCGGTGCTGAGCCAGACTTAAGCTTCAGCATGTGACAGATCATGACTCAGTCAAATGAAGCATGCCACTTCTGAATATGTTATGGAAAGTGTACCAACCGTGCTACGTTGTTCATTATAGGAACACATTTCTGCCATTATGTTTTGCAGCATTAGTTTCATTTTAGAAAAAAGACCAGGTATTTTGCAGTGTTCCCCTTTTACTCAGATTACAAAAATTGGCTTTACACATGTTAAAGAAATAGTCTGTAATTTCAGCATGTTACCAAATCTGTTTACTTTTGATATAGATTTTAAAGAGGCTACATGGAAGTAAACCTGCAAACACATCAGACTTCATCAGCAGTGCACTTGAGGTCACAGTGGACTCTAACCAACAGACTGACACAATCACACAGGGCTGACAGAGCAGAGGGAATCCTTCAAAGCCGCAGCAGAGTTGGCGACGGAATAAAGACGCTCTGTTCACTGGGTCAAACAGAGCGTCTGAACTCATTTGATTGCAAGCAGCAAAGATGAGCCGTCACCTGTTCACATTCCTGACCGGAGAAAGAAAAGCTGTACTGAGGGCCGAAATGCATTTGGGAAAAAAGAGTGACAAGCAAAAGCGCAAAATGTAACTCAATTGCTTATCCTCCATGCATGCACGTCTCTTGTGCAAAAGAGAAAGCCTTTGTATGAAATCGTTAATTTGGTAGACTAAGAAAAATGACTTGTATAGAAAGTTTGGATAAGACAGGTGGGTACTATAGTTCATAACAGGGAGTAGACTGCGCTCCCTAACCCTAAACCAGTAACAGTAAAACACTATTTAAATGTAAAGGTTGCAAAAATGATCATGTGTAGTGGCTTGTATATATTTTTTGGTTAACAGATACCGTAGAACACAACTATTATTAGCAAGATATGCACACCGTCTGCTACCTACTGATGATGAAGTGGGAACTTTTGAGCGTTGAAAGAGTAACATTTATGCACAGAATGTAAAAGGTAGAAGTGGCCGTGTAGCTTGCAATCAAAAGGCTCTTTGTTGCTCTGAGACAGACCTGCACACATCTTAAGCAGCCTGCGATGACAGATGCCTTGATGGCATCCCCAATGGGCTCTGAAGACCTCTGCCGCAAAGTGGGTCACAGAGTGACTGTGGCACATGGGTCAGGGAAAGGGGGGGGAGGAGGGGGGAGCGAACGTGGAGGAGAATCTGTGAAATATTCATCGTGACCTCCTGTATGCTCTGCCGCTAACATGTTATCCAAGTGCTTTGAACACCTGCGTACAGAACAATGTGTGCACCAATTAAATACCTAATTATATTTTTCCGTTATATTTAAATGCAAAACCGGTACAAAACAAAGTACAGATACAATTCATATGACTTATTGCTGTTCACTGCTCAGTCAAAATAACTGAAAAAATACTGACAGTAGTATGACTCATTAATGGGAGGCGTGTGGTGCAGTGGGATGTGCATTGGTGTTCGGATCAGGGGGTCACAGGTTCAAACCCCACTGCAGTCAGCATGTCGTTGTGTCCCTGAGACACTTCACCCCAAATTGCTCCTGTGGGGATTGCCCACAGTATTGAGTATGTAAGTCGCTTTGGATAAAAGTGTCTAACAAGTAACATGTCATGTAATGTAATTAATGCCAGTAATAAAGCAAATCAATAATTCTCAGTAGCAGATAAAAGCCTATAAAACTATATGGTCAGAGATTCTGTGTACAGTTTCCTAAAATGTTCTTATGACTCCCTGTTTCTAAGTAACATTTGTATTGTATTTTGTGTAGTTTTAGATATTCATATAAAGTTTGGATTCTTCTCTTTATCCTTAGCGTGAACATGCAAGTTCAAATGCAGATGCAACAGCACCAGTTCACAGGCCTTGTTTTTGTTTTTGCAATAAATAAACATACTCCAGTGTGTGGGAAGATGGCGTCTGTGTCGGCTCGCCGCTCCCTCGGCTCTCTGCCTTTAGCTATCCTGTTTTTGTTTTATGTTTGTCAGAATGTCTCTGCTCTGCTCCTCTATGATCGCCAAGCTCTCCTCCACCTCAGACCCTCACTGGAGTTTATATTGCTGCCCAAACCTACATCTGGCAACCATAAATCGTCCCCCCCCTCTACTGTCGGATATTCCCACCTACCTGCGCCGGTTGCCCTGCATCCTGCCTCGCCGAAATCGCTTTAGACGACGGGGAAAGCGTGGTGGTGCACTGGTCCATCAAAAAGCATACCTGACGGCTTCTTCTGGGACTTATCCACGTATCAGATGTCATGGCCCTCCTGCTGCACGCCATCTGAGGGATCGATGGATTCGCCCTGTCTTTCCGGAGCTGCGGCCTCTGCTGGGCCCGCTGGCAGCTCCTCCTGCCCGACTGACTGCTCCCGGCCCGCGCGGTGTTCAACACGCACATCTTCGTCAGCTGAGACGCACTACACCTTCGGCAAGCCCGGAGAGAAAACTTTGCATGGCTTTGCTAAATGCTAGGTCGATAGCAAACAAAACGTTCCTGCTAAACGACTTCTTCACCTCTCGTGAACTGGATTTTATGTTTCTGACGGAGACCTGGGTCCACGCTGGCGAGTATACACCGTTCTCTGAACTTCTTCCTCCTGACTGTACATTCTTCAGCTCCCCCCGTGCCACTGGCCATGGTGGGGGCATAGCATCAGTGTTTAGAGCTAGCCTCCAATGCCGATTGCTTCACCCTGTAACTAGCTACGCTAGCTTTGAGTTGCAGCTTTTTGAACTGAACCCGGCCTCGCCTATACTCTGCGCAGTCGTGTATCGTCCGCCAAAGTGCAATAAGGATTTCATAAATTACTTTTCTGACTTTCTGTCCGGGATCATGCTGAAATATGATCGTGTTTTGATCTCCGGAGACTTCAATGTCCATGTGTGTTGCGAGTCCAAACCTCTGGTTAGGGACTTTTTAAATCTCCTTGATTCTTTTGGTCTCGTTCAGTCCGTGGCTGGCCCAACACACGAAAAAGGACACACTTTGGACTTAGTATTATCGTTTGGACTGTCTGTATCTGTGGATGAAATATGTGCGGCAACGCGTATCTCAGACCATTTACCGGTTCTGTTTACAACCTCGATCCCTTCCGCAGGAGTCGAATCACGTGCCCCAGCGCGTCGTCTGTGTTCCATTAACCCCTTGACTGCCTCACAGTTCTCTGATGTTTTTAATACTTCTCCGATCTGTAAATTAGATGTGAACTGTGCTCTTAGTGCGGATGAGCTCATCTCCATGTTTGACTCGACATGCACACTAATACTGGATTCTGTTGCTCCTTTTACGCTTAGACGCACCAAAGTTCTCTCAGAGCCGTGGCTCAATGACTGTACTCGTGCTCTCAGACGCGCTTGCAGGCGTGCAGAGAGAAAATGGAAAAAGGATAAACTCCATGTCTCCCTAGAAATCCTTCGTGCTTGCCTTTCTGACTACCAGACGGCAGTCAAAGCAGCCAAAACAGAGCACATTTCTCTGTTAATCTCCAAAAACAGCCATAAACCTCAGGTTCTTTTTAATGTCCTCAACTCGATCATTAATCCCTGTGATGTTTCTTCTATTGTGCCATCGACTACTCTCTGTGATAAGTTTCTTACATTTTTTATTGAAAAGGTATCTGCTCTTAGGCTAGCCCACACTAGTGCTACCCCAGATCCTGCTCCTTTTCTGTGCCCTGCAGTCCTCGACCACTTTGAGCCTGTATCCCTCTCTTCTCTCTCGGATGTAGT